TACTTCTTTCTCTTCACTAACTCCCTTGTAGGACGGTTCGCATTTTGTTAATTGATTGTCAGCTATTTTCAATCATTTAACAAAAATCAAACTGCAGTACAAAATTGGCCCGAAAGGAAAGAATGGTAAAACTAGTGAATGAGACAATAAGGCCAGCGCTTTCATTTCAAGGTATTACAATTTTTATTTGCTTTTTTTTCCCTTGGGAGGGGTTTGGTGGAGGGGGTAAGTTGAACTTACTGCATATGGCAAACACGTTTCCCACTTCACTTGTATGGCCATGTGAGTGAGCATTGCTAACATGGGGAATCTGCAACAACCAACAGTATCAAGGCTCTCAGCCATATTCAACACATTTCCTGCACTCTTGACCTCACCCTTCCCCTCTCTCCCAGAATAAGAACGGACAATAAGACGCAAGGGTGCAGGTTGGCCATTTGGCCCATCAAATCTGCTCTGCCATTCAATAAATTCATGGCTGATTTGATACTTTTCTGAATTTTTCCCATAACCCTTAATTCCCTCACTGATTTGAAAAAAAAATTATATCAGCCTTGAATATTCTTAATCATTTAGCCTTGATAGCTCTTTACGGTAAAGCAGTCCACAGATTCACCTCTGTCTTAAATGGGCAACTGCTTATTCTGAGATTATGCCACCTGGTTCCAGACATGACACAAAGCTGGGTAGGACAGTGAGCTATGAGGAGGATGCAGAAATGCTTCAGTGTGATTTGGACAAGACAAGTAAGTGGACAAATACATGGCAGATGAAGTATAATGGTGAATAAGTATAAGAGGTAAAGAAGGCATTTGGCATACTTGCTTTTATTGGTCGGGGAATTGAGTACAAGAGTTAGGATGTCACATTGCAGCTTTATAAGACTTTGATTAAGCCACACTTAAAGTATTGCACTCAATTCTAGCCTCCACATTACAGGAAGGATGTGGAGGCTTTGGGAAAGGGTGCAGAAGAGTTTTACCAGGATGGCTGCCTGGATTAAAGGGTATGAGCTATAACGAGAGGCTAGAAAAACTCAGGTTCTTTTCTCTGGTGTGGCGGAGGCTGAGGAGAAACTTGATAGAAGTCTATAAAATTATGAGATACATAGAAAGGGTTGACAGTCAGAATCTTTTTCCAGCAGTTAAAATATCTAATACTGGGAGGCATGCATTTAAAGTGAGAGAGAGGAAGTTCAAAGGAGATGTGAGCAGCAAGTTTTTTTTACGCAGAGTGGTAGGAGTCTGGAAGGTGCTGCCAGGGGTGATGGTGGAGGCAGGTACGATAGGGGTGTTTAAGGAACTTTTAGATACGCACATGGATATGCAAGGAATGGAGGGATATGAACCAAGGGCAGGCAGAACAGCTTAGTTAAATCTGGTGTCATGTTCAGCACAACATTTTAGGCTGAAGGGCCCGTTCCTGTGTTGTACTGTTCAATGTTCTATGTTCTATTATTCACTTTGGCAGCCAAAACCGGAAGATAGGTTATCTGAATGGTGATAGATTGGTAAAGAGGGGTGTGCAATAAACTCTTTGATCCCTTGTACACCGATCGCTGAAAGGAAGCAGCCAGCTGCAGCAGGTGGTGAAGGGGCAAATGGTATATTGTCCTCCAGAGTCAGAGAATTTAAGTACAGGAGCAGGGGTGTCTTGCTGCAATTGTACATGGCCTTGGCGAGATTACACCTGAGCATTGTGAACAGTTTGGTTCTCCTTACCTGAGGGAGGGATGTTATGCTGATGGAGAGAGTGCAGCAAACGTTTGCCAGACTGATTCCTGGGATGGCAGGACTGAT